AGGCATTTTCAGCAGGACCCTTGGAGAATGAGACATGATTTGCAAATAAGCTGTGGGCTCTTTCATACCCTGACTTCCTTAGATATTCCATGTGGCAAAACTGCTGCTTTCTGTACTCTAAGATAGCAAGTACATCTAGAATGCTGTCTTGATTTGGCATAATCAGCAGAAATTCGAGTATAATCAAATTCATAATATAAGCACTAAAAGGTATCTGCATTCATAATTCATGATGTTGGTGTACTTCATGACAGTGAATGCCAGTCAGGAGAACTACTCTTCAATTACCTTCCCCAGATTCTTCAGAACGAACAACTGGATGAAATTTCTTCTCTAAGCAATGAAGAAGTATCAGCAGTTAGCCAGGCTTGGTTTACAACCAAAGAAGATAAGGATTCTTTAACAAACAAAGGTAAGTTCTCATACATCTGCTTCCTATACATGCTTGTATGTGCAATCTATATAAATAAAAATGTAATGTTCGTTGTGGTATTCACAGAACTCAAAAACCCCTGGGGCAATTGGCACCAAATTTGGACACGTTACACCTAACAACCCAATGTATGTTCTCCACTCAAAAAAAAACATGAAAACAAAAAGCAGAAAGGACTTCTGAACTGCATGTCCACAAAGGAGAAACTGCATGTCTACAAAGAGACCCATGGCCACGCCCCCTCCTCCTCCTCGCGGGGAAACAGCCGGCCGTTTATAGCCTTAGAAGCCAGGCACGTGTGCATGGCCACACACACACACACAAAAGCGAGAGTGGGCACCATGGGAGTGAGGAAGAAGAGGAGGAGGATGGTGGATGGGCTCCTCAAGTCCCTCCTTCGCCAGCAGAAGCAGCAGCCTTTTTCCTCTTGGCTGTCCTCGCTCCCTTTCCTCGCCTCCTCTTCCTCCTAGATGCCCTGGTAGAGAGGAGGGGAGAGAGACTGGTCCCTTCTTCGCCAACTCTTTCTTGCCTCCCTCCATAATTTGCTCGGCTGTCTCCGGCAACACGAGCACACATTTAACTCCCTCTCTCCTTCCCTCTCTCTCTCCTATTAACATCCAGACCAGGAGGTAGCTGCCTCTGCCACACTCCACTCCTCTCTCTCTCCTCCCTTCCCTTCTTCCTTCTTTCCTTCCTTCCCCTTCCTTTCCTCCCCTCCTCCTTCCTTCTCCTTCCTTTCCTTCTTTCCCTCCTTCCCTTCCTTCCTGTCCCTTCCTTTCTCCTCCTTCCTTCCTCCTTTCCCTTTCTTCATTTCCTTCCCTTTCCCTCCCTCCTTTCTTCATCCTCCTTCCTTTCCCTCCCTCCTTCCTTCTCCTTCCTTTCCTTCCTTCCTTTTTCCTTCCTTTCTTTCCTTCCTTCCCTTCGTTGCCTCCTCCCCTCCTCCCTTTCTTTTTCCTTCCATCTTTCTTTCCTTCTTTCTATGTAAGATATAAATACAATATTTTATATATTGTTATATAGATTACTATATAATATGTTACTATTATATATTACTGCATAATACAAATCAAATAGACTTACAGAATAGAGTTGGACGGGACAGTCAAGAAGTAACGAGAGAAGGAGATAAAGAGGAAAGGAATGAAAGGGGGAAAGAGAGAAGGAGGGAGGGAAAGAAGGAAGGAAAGAAAGAAAGGTAGAGAAGCAAGAAAGGAGAGAAGGAAATAAAAAAGTGAAAGGAAAAATACAGGGAAGGAAGGATGTAACCAAAGAGCAAAGAAAGGGAGGAAAGAAACAGGTAGAGATGGAAGAAAGAAGAAGATAAATAGGAAGGGAAAGAAAAAGAGGAAAGGAAGGAGAGAAAGAGGGAGGGAAGGTTGGCCACAGCAATGTGGCAGGTACAGCTAGTAAAATATAATATCGAACAAATTGCATGTTGACCATCACTCATCCCAAAATCCAAAATTATCCACATGGGCGGCTGAGAAAGGGATCTATTTGCTTTCTGATGGTTCATAACGCATAAACCTGTAATGTTGTTACATCATGGTTTAATAGATAAGTTCTGTTTGTGCCTCAGACATATCATATTGTGCTGTGACCCACCTAGAGCCATGAGGAGAGACGGGTGAGAAATAAAAATTATAAAAATAAATAAAAATTATACTGACACAAAAACAGTATGACACAGCAAACGAGGTATATATACTGGATTTCGTATACAAAATCACAGGTCAAACACTTCCCAAGCATTTAGGACTGTGTGATGTATTTTTGAACGATTCACGCAGATCCAAGTAAGGCGGCCTTTTGCATTTGACAGATCATAATTTTGTCAATGTTTATTGTTTTCAAATGCCGACTGAGATATTTTGGCACAACACCCAATGTGCCAATCACCACTGGGACCACCTGTATTGGTTTATGCCAGAGCCATTATTATTATTATTATTATTATTATTATTATTATTGACACAAAAGCACAGTATGTCACAGCAAACAAGATGTATATGCTGGATTTCGTATCACAGAATCACAAGTCGAACACTTCCCAAGCGTCTAGGACTGTGTGGTGTATTTTCGAATGATGTGCGCAGATCCAAGTAAGGTGGCCTTTTGGATAGGATTTGACAATGCGGAATGAACTACGGATTCTGAGCTTGGCGAACGTTGATCATTAGATTGGTTTTTATTAATTGTGATGTATAACTGGATTGTTTTAATTGTTTTATAATTGTTGTTGATACATGTTTTATCTTATTATCTGTTTTGCTGGCATCAAATTGTGCCTTTTGTAATCCGCCCTGAGTCCCCTCTCAGGGGTTGAGAAGGGAAGGGTAGAAATGCGCGAAATAATAAATAAATAAATAAATAAATAAATAAATAAGTTTCGATTTGGATCCCATCTCTAAGATATCTAATTAAGTACAGTATTTGTAAACATTTCAAAGTCTAAATACTTCTGATCCTAAGCATTTTGTATAAGAAATATTTAACCTGTATGAACAAGTTGCACACTATAAAATATCCCATTATAAACATTTACAACATAAGGTAAAACAAAAGAGATTACAAAGCGTGCACACAGTAGTGATATATTTTTTTAAAACAACTCATGGAAAACATATTAAGACTGGTGTCTCGTTAGGGAATACATGCTGTAAGTTTCACTTAGACCCCTTCTACACTGCCAGATAATCCAGATTATCAAAGCAAAAAAAATCCACATTATCTGATTTGACCTGGATTATCTTAGTACTTTGGCCACATCATGAGGAGACAGCAAAGCCTAGAGAAGACAATTATGTGGGGAAAGTGGAAGGCAAAAGGAAGAGGGGCCGACCAAGGGCAAGATGGATGGATGGCATCCTTGAAGTGACTGGACTGACCTTGAAGGAGCTGGGGGTGGTGACGGCCGACAGGGAGCTCTGGCGTGGGCTGGTCCATGAGGTCACGAAGAGTCGGAGACGACTGAACGAATGAACAACAACAACATCTTAGTCTACACTGCCATATAATTCAGTTCAAAGCAGATAAGGTGGATTTTATACATCTGTGTCGAAAGGGCCTTAGATTTGCTTATGTCCTTGTTTAAGCATTGTAAAAGTTGGTATTCCCTTCCTCTCTCTACAACACCAAAGTGCCAGTCCCTTACTGAACAGTCTCTGAGCAGTTTTTATGATAATATTTTATTTATTTATTTATTTATTTAAAACTTTTATATCCTGATTTTCTCTACTTCCATAGAGGAACTCAGACCGGCTAACAGCAAGAATTCAATGCTAAACAGTAAAAATCTAAAAACAACATATAACAACAGTAAATTAACAATACATATAAAATAAATACACAAAAGCCGTTCGTCAAGATAAAAACATGTCCAACTCAGTCCGTATATTCAGTCCATGTATTGCAGTCAATACTTGGGTCGATTATCGGTCTAACCCATCATTCTGCAAAGGCCTCGTTCCACAGCCAGGTTTTCACTAGCTTCCTAAAGGTCAGGAGGGAGGGGGCAGATCTAATTTCCTTCGGGAGGGAATTCCATAGCCAGGGGGCCACCACAGAAAAGGCCCTGTCTCTCGTCCCCACCAGACATAACTGCAAAGGTGGCGGGACCGAGAGCAGGACCTCTCCAGATGATCTTAACGCTCTTAATACACATCTATGCCAAATCTTTACATTTTATATACATTTAAGATTTAATGTGTTGAAGACATTCTGTATGTGGTTATCCCACAGATAAATGTGTGTTACATCACAAGCACATAAAGTCATTCAACATTGCATTGGCTTGGGAAACAGTAGGAATTTATTTATTTGTCGTGTCAGAGCAACCAGTCCATTATATTACATTTCTAACAGAACAAAGCAAACAAACAGAAAAATACAAAACTTGTGAGTTTGGTAGTTGGTTAAATGTCCTTTGACCAGTATCTGGCCACTTGGAGTGCTTCCGGTGTTGCTGCAAGAAGGTCCTCCATTGTGCATGCGGCAGGGCTCAGGTTGCATTGCAGCAGGTGGTCAGTGGTTTGCTCTTCTCCACACTCGCATGTCGAGGATTCCACTTTGTAGCCCCATTTCTGAAGGTTGGCTCTGCATCTCGTGGTGCCAGAGCGCAGTCTGTTCAGTGCCTTCCAAGTTCGCCCAGTCTTCTGTGTGCCCAGGAGGGAGTCTCTCATTTGGTATCAGCCATTGGTTGAGGTTGGGTTTGAGCCTGCCACTTTTGGACTCTCGCTTGCTGAGGTGTTCCAGCAAGTGTCTCTGTAGATCTTAGAAAACTATGTCTAGATTTAAGTCGTTGACGTGCTGGCTGATACCCAAACAGGGGATGAGCTGGAGATGTCTCCGCCTTGGTCCTTTCACTATTGGCTGCTACTTCCCGGCGGATGTCAGGTGGTGCAATACCGGCTAAGCAGTGTAATTTCTCCAGTGGTGTAGGGTGCAGACACCCCGTGATAATGTGGCATGTCTCATTAAGAGCCACATCCACTGTTTTAGTGTGGTGAGATGTGTTCCACACTGGGCATGCATACTCAGCAGCAGAGTAGCACAGCGCAAGGGCAGATGTCTTCACTGTATCTGGTTGTGATCCCCAGGTTGTGCAAGTCAGCTTTTGTATGATATTGTTTCTGGCACCCACTTTTTGCTTGATGTTCAGGCAGTGCTTCTTGTATGTAAGTAGGGATCATTATGTTGCATAATTGCCTTGGCTTCAATTAGCCTTTCGGCAATTTCTATCTCTCTGGTTCCTGTTTTCTATGTGAGAGCTAATTAATTTTCTCTACTACTAATGTATTGTTTGTGTAACAGTCTTTCCCTCACTTTTTAAGGTCATAAATGGAAACAAGGAATGTGGTCGAAAGAAGAAATTGACATTTTGATGAGCAACATTGAACGTTATTTAAAGGTTTGTTTGCAACCAATTACTCTGCTGGTTAGAGGACTAATCTTTTCTGTGTCATACGTTTTTGATCAGGATGGGCAAAATATGGCCCTCTAGAAGTTGTTGGATTGCAGTTCTCATCAGTCATAGTCAGTATATCCAGTAGTGAAGAATGTTGTTCAGCAACATTTGGATGGTCACACTTTGCCTATTTCTGTTCTTGGCTTAGATCCTGCTTTCTCCTGAGTGTAGTATCACTTGGGCAATGAATCTTTGTCACATGCCGTTTTAATCCAAAGCTAAATGCACCCCGTCTTCATTAAACAAACCTGAGGGAAGTAAAGTCTAAGCCAAGTCATTTGTATAAGGCAGGTGTGCCCAAAGTTTTAACCGTCCCTCAGCCTGTTTGGGGTCGAGACTGTAGTTTGAAAAAGTATATAAATGCATTCCTATGAACACTGCATGTGTCCTATTTCTAGTGCAAAAAAATTGAAAGAACAATACAATATATTTAATTCTGTATATACATATATTTATTTATATGTTAATTAATTAATTATAAATATAATATAAAAATATAAATAATTAAATATAAAATATAATATAATAATAAAATATAATTATATATACAATATATATTGTGTGTGTGTGTGTGTGTGTATATGTATGTATGTGTGTATATATATATATATATATATATATATATATATATTGTGTGTGTGCATACATACAATATATTTAATTGTCAAAGGCTTTCATGGCCGGAATCACTGGGTTGTTGTAGGTTTTTTCGAGCTATATGGCCATGGTATAGAGGCATTCTCTCCTGACATTTCGCCTGCATCTATGGCAAGCATCCTCAGAGGTAGTGAGGTCTGTTGGAACTAGGAAAATGGGTTTATATATCTGTGGAATGACCAGGGTGAGACAAAGGACTCTTGTCTGCTGGAGCTAGGTGTGAATGTTTCAACTGACCACCTTGATTAGCATATAATAGCCTGACAGTGCCTAGAGCAAATTTTTGTTGGTCCAGATCCATAGTCATTTGGGTTCACAGTGCTTTCCGGATGTAGGTGAACTACATCTCCCATAAATCACTATCAATTCCTCCCAAACTCCTCCAATATTTACTGTTGGTCATGGGAGTTCTGTGTGCCAAATTTGGTCCAGGTCTGTAATTTGTGGGTGATCTCAGTGGTCTGTGGAAGTCAGAGCTGAATTGGTTGAAGATACTGCAAATCCCATCATCTGTTGTCCATACTCCCCCAAACATATTGTTTTTGTGATTAATCACTATACTTTAATTATGTTTAATTTGTAACAATGAAAATACATCCTGCATATTATATATTTGCATTAGAATTCATAAGAGTAGCAAAATTATTTATGAAATAGCAATGAAAATATGGTTGGGGGTCACCGCAACACGAGGAACTTTATTTAGGGGTCACCGCATTAGAAAGGTTGAGAACAACTGCCATAGGCCAAGCCACTGCACTATGCTGACTCTACTCTCCTGTTTCTATATATGGTCACCCAGTGGGTTTCCATATACAAGTAGATATATAGTCGAAGGCTTTCATGGCCGGAATCACTGGGTTGTTGTAGGTTTTTCTGGGCTATATGGCCATGTTCTAGAGGCATTTTCTCCTGATGTTTCGCTTGCATCTATGGCAAGCAACCTCAGAGGTAGTGAGGTCTGTTGGGAGTTGGAGAATGGGTTTATATATCTGTGGAATGACCAAGGTGGGACAAAGGACTTTTGTCTGCTGGAGCTAGGTGTGAATGTTTCAACTGACCACCTTGATTAGCATTTAACCCAAACACAGCATTGCCCAAACACGAATCAAGGAACATGAAAGGCACTGCCGACTACTTCAACCAGAGAAATCAGCCATAGCAGAGCACCTGATGAACCAACCTGGACACAGCATATTATTTGAGAACAAAGAAATGCTGGACCACTCTCACAACCACCATGTCAGACTACACAGAGAAGCCATTGAAATACACAAGCATGTGGACAATTTCAACAGAAAGGAAGAAACCATGAAAATGAACAAAATCTGGCTACCAGTATTAAAAAACTCTAAAATTACAACAGCAAAACAACAGGGAGTAAACAATCAGGCACATCAAATCACCTCTGAACAAAACATTCCCCCAGGCACTTCCAAGCCATTAAATGCTAATCAGGGTAGTCAGTTGAATCATTCACACCTAGCTCCAGCAGACAAAAGTCCTTTGTCCCACCCTGGTCATTCCACAGATATATAACCCCATTTTCCTACTTCCAACAGACCTCACTACCTCTGAGGATACTTGCCATAGATGCAGGCGAAATGTCAGGAGAAAATGCCTCTAGAATATGGCCATATAGCCCGGAAAAACCTACAACAACCAAGTAGATATATAAACCCTATTTTCCACAGAGTTGGAGTCCAACATTCATATCACTGTGCCACACTTGTTCTAGGAGACTGGGTTTCAAATTCCTACTTGGCCTGGAAACCTACCGAGTAACATTGGCAATTTATATTCTCTCAGCCTCAAAAGAAGGCTGTGAGAGTATAACTTGCCTGTGTTATACTCTCCGCTGAAAGAGTGCAAAAACAAACCCTTTCAGAACAAAACTTCGTGATAGAGTCAGCATAAATTGGACCTGATTTAAACACACAACAATGGGATTTTTGAAATCATCATCAAGTGCATCCATATTGAAAAGGTAATAATAAAACAGTATTGCTTACCAAATCTCGTCAGCAGAGCTGTTCATTGTGTGTAATATTGCACTACAGAACCCTCACTTGTTGATAAATCGCCGGATTGTATTCATTTTAAAATATTGGGTAACTAAGTGTCCTCCAAATCTTAATGTGACTAGGCACGTGGAATCAAAGATGCCACTGAAATCATCTTTGAGATGTCAAAAGATGAAAGAAAAGATTTCTACAGGACCATTGCATGGGGTCTGAACCGGCCTCTCTTTGCTGTTTATAGACGGGTGCTGCGCATGTATGATGATCGAAATCACGTTGGCAAGTATGAAACCTAACGTTTGACCCAAACGGTATGATTTAGGGTGTGAATGGTCAAATGCCTCTCTTAAATCACAGCACTGTGTTATGACCTCAAAGCCCAAGGTGGGAAATAAACTTGGGAGATGGGGATGTACTTAGCATGATGGGAAAGAGGAGCATGTTTTACAGACAGCTTGGAATAATTATGGAACTATGATTTAGATTCCCAATACTAGGAAATTGAGAGAACTTCAAGTGATTCTTGAACTCTTCTTGTGTTGGGACATGGGAGTAAGACCTACTTGCCCACCATCACTATTGCATATCGGACATTATGCAATATCAAGTCTACACTATGCATACTAACATGGACAAAAATGAGCTTCTTTCCCCCTTGCCCATTTGTTTTTAAACATTTAGATAAATTAGATAAACAGTGTCAAATTATTATTGCACCTTTTTCTAAAACTGTGTGTAAGTCCACATCTGGAATCAAAACTGTCAGAGTGTGGGGGGTGCGCAGCAGAAGGATTGCTAGATCAACAGATACTGTGATGGTAAAAATCAGGACTCTGCAGACTTTCAGTTACAAAAGAAACTAAGTTTTACTAAGTACATATAACTTAGTAACACAGCGAGCTACAAACACAGCGAGCTACAAACAGGAACTAGTGAAAAACGAAAGTCTCTCTGCACACCTGCTTATCTCTCTTGACTCTGCTGGTACTAAATTCTCCCTTCTGTTCTCAGCAGAAGCATACATTATCTCATTTCTCTCAAGGTTACATAGTCACAGCCTCAGTAATGAACATTCAGCATAGGATTTCTAACACACAGTAGAATCCATCTTGGAAATACATAGAAACACATTTAAAACACACATACATATCTAAATTAAACCTGACAAAAACTACAGACAGTCCCCTAAGTTACGAACAAGATCGGTTTTGTAGACTTCTTCTTAAGTTGAATTTGTTAGTAAGTTGGAACAGGTACATTTTTAAGTGTAACTACAAATAAATTAATAAATATAAGCAAGCTTTGCATCGCTTAACATCCTTGTTGTGTTTGTTTTGCATCTGTTCCCCTGTTCAGAAAATTTCACCTCACTTTCTGTCCCTGTGAGAATTTGATTTTCAAAAATGTTATGGGAACAAGTATTAGTGAGAAAGCCTATATGTATATATAAATCCACTTTCCCATTGTGATCAACTGTGAATACGCACATATGGTAGTTTCTGTGTCTGAGCAGACAGCTTCGGAACCTTCTAGATCAGTGGTTCTCAACCTGGGGGTCGGGACCCCTGGGGGGGTCACGAGGGGGTTTCAGAGGGGTCACCAAAGACCATCCAAAAACGTAGTATTTTCTGTTGGTCATAGGGGTTCCTTGTGGGAAGTTTGGCCCAATTCTATCAGAATCATCTTTTATTGTAGGTGAACTATAAATCCCAGCAACTAAAACTCAAATGCCACGGTCTATTTTCCCCAAACTCCACCAGTGTTCATTCACATTGGGCATGTTGAGTATTCATGGCAAGTTTGGTCCAGATCCATCATTGTGTGAGTCCATAGTGCTCTCTGGCTGTATTTTATTTATTTATTTTATTTTATTTTTAGGTGAACTACAACTCCAAACCTCAAGATCAATGCCCACCAAACCCTTCCAGTATTTTCTGTTGGTCAAGGAAGTTCTGTGTGGCAAGATTGGTTCAATTCCATTTTTGGAGTTCATAATGCTCTTTGATTGTAGATAAACTATAAATCCCAGCAACTACAACTCCCAAATGACAACATCAATCCCCTGCCAACCCCACCAGTATTCAAATTGGGGCATATCACGTATTTGTGCCAGATTTGGCCCAGTGAATGAAAATATATCCTGCATATCAGATATTTATATTATGATTCATAACAGTAACAAAATTGTAGCTGAGAAGTAGCAACAAAAATAATATTATGGTTGGGGGCCACCACAACATGAGGAACTGTACTAAGGGGTCGCAGCATTAGAAAGGTTGAGAACCACTGTTCTGGATAGATTTGAAAAACTTTGGCGATTAGCCCCGCCCACTCTCCCCTTGCGAGTATAAGGAGCAGGTGAGCGGCGCCACTGCCTCAGTTCTCTTCATCCGCCGCTCTGTCAGCAGCTGAGAACCTTTGTTTGTGTGACTACCTTTTTTGTTCAGAAAATTTCACCTCACTTTCTGTCCCTGTGAGAATTTGATTTTGAAAAATGTGCCTTGTTATGGGAACAAGTATTAGTGAGAAAGCCTGTATGTATATATAAATCCACATCCAGATGCGCTTCTGAGACAAACTGAAAGGAGTTGGTAGCATGAGCTTTCATGGGTTTAAGTCCACTTCATCAGATGCATGGATAAAGTAGACTGAAGTCTATGAAAGGTTATTCTACCTTGTTCTTTCTCTCGGTCTCAAAAGTACTGCAAGAGCCCTTTGCATACTCATCCAGACTCCTAGCCATGTCTTTGAATTCTACATATTCTTCTGTAGTGACAACATTATGGCATAACACTCGTAGACATATTGACAAGTAATTGTATTGTGTATTTGTCATTAATGGACATTTACCGAGGAACTGTGAAACTGTCGCACACTTTCTTGAAGTGGTTGATTCTTTATTCCACTTAACATAAGGCTAATAAAAATAAAAATATTCGTTCAGTCGTCTCCGACTCTTCGTGACCTCATGGACCAGCCCACGCCAGAGCTCCCCGTCGGCCGTCACCACCCCCAGCTCCTTCAAGGTCAGTCCAGTCACTTCAAGGATGCCATCCATCCATCTTGCCCTTGGTCGGCCCCTCTTCCTTTTTCCTTCCATTTTCCCCAGCATCATTGTCTTCTCTAAGCTTTCCTTTCTTCTCATGATGTGGCCAAAGTACTTCATCTTTGCCTCTACTATCCTTCCCTCCAATGAGCAGTTCTTAGATCATAGAATCAAAGAGTTGGAAGAGACCTCATGGGCCATCCAGTCCAACCCCCTGCCAAGAAGCAGGAATATTGCATTCAAATCACCCCTGACAGATGGCCAACCAGTCTCTGTTTTAAAGCTTCCAAAGAAGGAGCCTCCACCACACTCCGGGGCAGAGAGTTCCACTGCTGAACGGCTCTCACAGTCAGGAAGTTCTTTCTCATGTTAAGATGGAATCTCCTCTCTTGTAGTTTGAAGCCATTGTTCCATTGCGTCCTAGTCTCCAAGGAAGCAGAAAACAAGCTTGCTCCCTCCTCCCTGTGGCTTCCTCTCACATATTTATACATGGCTATCATATCTCTCAGCCTTCTCTTCTTCAGGCTAAACATGCCCAGCTCCTTAAGCCGCTCCTCATAGGGCTTGTTCTCGACCCTTGATCATTTTAGTCGCCCTCCTCTGGACACATTCCAGCTTGTCAATATCTCTCTTGAATTGTGGTGCCCAGAATTGGACACAATATTCCAGGAGTGGTCTAACCAAAGCAGAATAGAGGGGTAGCATTACTTCCCTAGATCTAGACACTATGCTCCTATTGATGCAGGCCAAAATCCCATTGGCTTTTTTTGCCGCCACATCACATTGTTGGCTCATGTTTAACTTGTTGTCCACGAGGACTCCAAGATCTTTTTCACACGTACTGCTCGAAGTACAGTCAAACTTCACATTCTGTATCTTTGCATTTTATTTTTTCTGCCAAAGTGGAGTATCTTGCATTTGTCACTGTTGAACTTCATTTTGTTAGTTTTGGCCCATCTCTCTAATCTGTCAAGATAGTTTTGAATCCTGCTCCTGTCCTCTGGAGTATTGGCTATCCCTCCCAATTTGGTGTCGTCTGCAAACTTGATGATCCTGCCTTCTAGCCCTTCATTAATAAAGATGTTGAACAGGACCGGGCCCAGGACGGAACCCTGCGGCACTCCACTTGTCACTTCTTTCCAAGATGAAGAGGAAGCATTAGTGAGCACTCTCTGTGTTCGTCCACTTAACCAATTCCAGATCCACCTCACTGTAGTTTTGCCTAGCCCACATTGGACTAGTTTCCTTGCCAGAAGGTCATGGGGGACCTTGTCGAAGGCCTTACTGAAATCCAGGTACGCTACATCCACGGCATTCCCCGCATCTACCCAGCTTGTAACTCTATCGAAAAAAGAGATCAGATTAGTCTGGCATGACTTTTTGATAAATCCATGTTGACTATTAGCAATGACTGCATTTGTTTCTAAGTGTTTGCAGACCACTTCCTTAACAATCTTTTCCAGAATCTTGCCTGGTATCGACGTGAGGCTGACCGGACGGTAATTGTTTGGGTCATCCTTTTTTCCCTTCTTGAAGATTGGGACCACATTGTCCCTCCTCCAATCTGCTGGAACTTCTCCCGTTCTCCAAGAACTCTCAAAGATGATTGCCAATGGTTCGGAAATGACTCTTTTTTTTTCTTTTCCTTGTTATTCTCCATCTTATTTCCCTAAATACTATTTCCCAATTTTTTTGTATAATTTTACATGACCACCACATTTGAA